GAACTATACTTTAGATGGGGCTCCCTCAGGGGTGGGTTCTACTTATCTTTACTACCGGTTCACAGCGGGGCCGTGCGTGCTTGCTCACTTTGCTCGTGCACGTATGCTCTCTTTAGAGCGCAGAAGCACGAACATGCGCAGAAGCATTTTGACGATGTCAGGGTCGGTGGGCAGAGCCTCACACCGGTTTTACTACCAGTTCTATAGAACCGGTGCGAACCGGGGGCAACCCACCACTGGGCTCCCTTCATGAGTGGGGTCAGAACACCTCCTCCCTGTTCCTTCTCTCATATCAGTCTCTACATTTCAGTTATAATAAACAGAAGGACTCTGAGAGAGGGAATGAGGTTTATTAGAGCCTCTTCCATTACCTTCTTACTTCAACTCCTATTCCCACCTGGCCACCAATCTCTCATCTGGAAACTGTTAAATAAGATGCAGGAAAGCCCCTGGCAGTAAGTTGATTTCCCTGAATTGCTGAAAAGAAATCATCAGTTGATTGATTCTCCCTCTGGCTTCCAATATTACCACATTGGAATTAATACATTCTAGATATCTACATATTAAAATGGTTCTAATACTGTGCTTGCAGTGGAACAGATCTTGAACATATAAAAGCAAATGTGATATAATTCTATAAAAGTTTCTAGAAAATTATAAGCATGGATCCTTTGAGATAGATCCTACATAGTGGTCCTGATGCAATTATCTATATCAGTGTTGTTACAAGAAGCTCCATCTGCTGTTTCAGATGGATCTCTCTACCTAGGAGGGTCCTCATAAGAATTTAATCTCAAAGGTAGAGGACAAATCTCAAGGATAGATGAGCACAGGGGAAAGATTAAGTATCGTAAGCTTTGGTACATTTCAGCTAAAATGAATTTAATAGTGAAAAAATATCAAAATAAAAACCACTATACTGTGAAGCTGTTTATGAATTTGTTTCAGCTATCTCTAATAATAAATAGTAAGTGACATCAAGAGATTAAAATCTGTCTTGGATTAGAAGGAACGTACACAATAGCAACTGTCCTTGGAGCAGCTCTTGCTCTCCATAAAGTCACTTGAAAAAGAGATCGTTACACTGAGCTCAAATTCTAGTAACTGCATCCCTTTTTTTGGCAGCATTACATAAATGATTTACTATTTTGTAAATTATAACTATTTTTATTTCTTGGAACCTTGATACATTATTGATAAATCCTACCTACTTTGTATATTGAGTCCTAAGGTCTAGAGACACAGATTTATAAACACACTGATGTCAAAAAATGACTGCATTCTCATACCATCTCTACCATAATTCATACAGTTTTACTTTATATATAGTTAGTATGAGTATGCTTCTATTTGCTTTTTTCAGGATTTTCCTTTCAGGATGAACATAATTAACCTCTTCTTGGCATCCTATTTTACTTCTGAGGAACCACCCATTATGAGAAATCGCCAAAGGCATATAACATGTCCCCAACTAATATTCATCTTAGTACTACTCGGCCTCTTTGTACTACAGATCCATTTTGTTTTTTAAATGTTATAAGTAGATAGTTGGATAGCAAAGGGAAATAGATCGTTGCATAACGGAATGATACATAAACAAAGTTATAACATGGATCTTGATTTCTTTTCAGTATGTAAGAATGGGGTGTATCGCTAGCATCCTGAAAGCTTATGCTGTGTACCACTCAATGCAGCATTTCCCTTGTTATTAAACAAATCATTGCTTTAGAACACAGAAAAAGATCCCCTTTCCCCAGAAAAACAAAGTTAGCTGTGGGCTAGAAGCTTCCTTTACAGGTTTTACTACTTAGATTTTCTTAGAATTACTTCAAGGTGTTTAAGCAATCACCTAATTTCTACCCCTCACTAGATTCTCACTCTATTCCATTCAAAAGCAATACTAGGTTAACTACTAAATATTGCTTTTGCAATGTCAAGTGTGGGGTGGGGGGAGCTCTTTGGTATTCTCTTCTTCCTGACCACCATTCTTGGCAATGGCTCTTCTCTGAGCAGGTCTGTCACTTTTAAACACTATGCAGATATTTCTGGTTCTACTTGACAGCATTCCTTAAGCCCTAGAACTCATCCTTCTCACTAGTTTATTTCAACATATGGTAATAACAATGAAACTGTTGATTAAATGAGATAATCTATTTTATGTGCCTGCAATTTCAGGGGACGCTATATTTTAAGAGCAAGCAGCTCCACTTTATATGGCAAACACTAGCTGAGGGTACATCCATAACAAAGTCATTTGTAGTGTGGGATGCCTTTAACAAACATCTGAAAAATTGCTCATTCATGTTAGCAATAGCACTTAGACTTATATACTACCTCATAGTGCTTTACAGCACTCTTGATCAGTTTACAATGTCAGCCTATTGCCCCCAACAATCTTGGTCTTCATTTTACCGACCTCGGAAGGATGGAAGACTGATTCAATCTTGGAACCAGTGAGAATCGAACTGCTGAACTGTTGGCAGCAGGCAGTCAGCAGAATTAGCCTGCAATATTATAACCACGGCACCATTATGGCTCTTTCAAACTACAGTTGAATTAATCATACTTTAAATATTTGCTGTACAAATCCTGGTGTATTTGGAGGAGCTGCTTTTGTCCCACAGAGAGCAGAGTTGCCCTGTAACTCTGAAAATTGCGAAAAACATTTCTTATATAGGCAGCTACAGTATGATTGAGATTTCTGCTGAATCCAGGTAAGCTGGGGATATGATTACAAAACGTATAAAGCTTGGATGAGTTATTAACAAAGTAATCAATGAGGACAAGATCTTTTAATCAAAATAAAACCCATGGAAGATTGGTTCAGAGCAAACCTTATTTCCCTCCAAAATGTGTTCTCTCTCTCTTAATGGTTTTCATGCAAGTGAGGCTGTTGTGACCTCAATTGTAATATTTAATGTATTTTTCCTCGGATTGTCATGAAATCTTCCTTCCCTGAGCTGGTTCTTTTGGTGTTGGATTCTGATTCACATAATCTCTCTGCTACCACAGTCTTGCCAGACTAAAACTCATGGAAATTGTGTTGAATCTAGTTGGGGACTATAGTCCTTTGCCTGAGGTACCAAGTGACAGTTTCGCACCCAAACTCCCAAAATGCATGTGCACCCCCCTGCATGCACTTCGCCCCCCCGCAGATGCATGCATGCCACACACATACACGCGCATCCCTGCATGCACGCCCCCATGCATGCGCACACAGCCCCCACATGCATCCCATCCCCGCGCATGTGCACGCGGCTTCCCGACATGTGCCCTGCCCCCACACATGCACAGCAAAGACCCAAAGACCAGCTGGCCGGCGAGAAGCATGCATGCATGTGCGGCAGAGCTGAACTGAGACGACGGCTCTTGTGCCATCAGAGAGGGTGCTGCGTGCCACCTCTGGCACGCGTGCCATAGGTCCGCCATCACAGTTCTAGTGGCTTGCCCTGTCATTTTTGGTGGGAGCGGTCTACGTGTTTTTGTTTTTAGGTGGTTTTTTGGTTGGGCTCTTTGTTGGGCTCTTTGTGGCATTGTTCACTTCTTGACTGATAGGCTGATAGTAATCTTGGTGTTGATTGCTGATGGGGAGATGATTGTTTTTGTTCCCTTTTTGATTGTTTCTTGTAGACAGTATGTAGATGCTGTTTATGTTTAGGGTCTATTCCCTGAGAGAATGACCTTGGGGGAGGGGGTGCTGCCTAAGGAATGATCAGATAAAAGGGGGAAGAGTCCGTAACTGAATAATGGGCAGAGAAAGTTAGAAAGGTTCTGTTCTAATCAGGCAGCACAAATGTGTACTTTCAGACTTCCAAGATAGCAATAGCAATAGCACTTAGACTTACATACCGCTTCACTGTACTTTACAGCCCTCTCTAAACAGTTACAAAGTCAGCATATTGCCCCCAACAATCTAGGTCTCCATTTTATTGACCTCGGAAGAATGGAAGACTGAATCAACCTTGAATCGCTCAGAATTGAAGTCCTGGAGTGATCAGTGAGTTAGCCTTGTTTATGTAGCCTTATAATACAATAGAAATAGTTCATCTTGTGTTTCCTGTCTGGTCTACCTACAAAGCTGACAAGTTCCCAGGTTTCACAGTAACAAGGTCAAAAGGTATAAACCTTTCTCTATTAGGAATCTAGGAAAATCTTCACAATTGATGTAAGGCACTATTTCAGACCTTTTAGCAAACAGAAGCTCAGTCACTGTGCCTCTAAAGAGAAGCCAGGCACTGTAGAATTCTGTAGGACCAGAGGGATAGAGATGGGGAACCCACCCACCCCTTCTTCCAATTAGGAGGGCAAGGATGGGAATCAAAGCTCATTACTTTGTTGCAGGATGCCTGTTTGATTTGTTTCTTCCACTGTAAAGAATCAGTTCACAAGTATTGTGGAAAAGGCCCTTCTATGCCAGAGAACCTGGAGAACAATTGCAGTTTGTGGACACTACAAATGTAGATTGGGTTCCCTATCAGGACGCTGATGTCAATAAAAAATATCCAGAAATCTTTATAGAAAGAAGTATTTCCTTTAAAATCAAAGATAAATCTGCATACTGGCAGGGGATTACTAGACTGTTTTTAAATTTCACAGGTTCATTTATTTTAGAGGGAAGGGAAAGCCTTTCTGCTCTTACCAAATTCCAGCAAACAATTCTCTATCCATCAGCAAATGAAGGAGTGATTAAACAAACCAGGGGAAAACTATATTTATTGTCTATATTATTATTATTATTCAAGTGTTTGTATCTGGCAGAGAAGGGGGAGATAGCCAATAGAGAGCGTGATACCTTACTGTAGCCAGACTGTTATGAATTTGTCTGCTAGGAAATAAGCTACACAGACTGCAACTGGGCAAATGTGCATAAGGATTTTAGCTTCAAAATGAGCTTCCTCTCTCAGTTTTCTGAGACCCATTCTGCCTGCAGATGCTTTGAATTCCTGCAACTGCTGTGTTGAGATTTTTAAATTATTATACAAGAAACAGGTAGTCATTGGAGCCTTTTAAAACACATTTATTAACAGATGCAGAAAAAATAAAAATAAAACCATATTCCTCACCACCCGCAAATCCAACCACCATTGACACAGAGAGTAAATCCATCTCTTGCCTGCCTGTCCCTCCCCCCCCCCTTCCAGGTGCCTCCATAGAATTTATAGGGAAGGCCACCTGCTCAAGGTTCATGGGATAGTACAGTCAGTGGGGTCCAAAGAGACAGTGACATCTGCCTTGCACTGAATGATGCTGGGCACACCAGGCAGTAGCTGGCAGCTTTGCAGTTCTGGAGCCACTTCCTTCACACATACTGCCTGGAGAAAAGACAAAAGACAGAAACAAAAGATAAGTGCAAGAGCAGATATCCACCGGAGCCTCCTTTGTCCAGGGCATATACTTATTTGGGAGTATGTCCTATGGACTTCTTATGTAATAGATTTCTTTGGGAAGGAGAAGCAGCTTGTGAAGCTGGGGCTACTGGTCTCTGTGGGTTTTTAAAAATTCTACTGATACTCCAAGAGCCACTTTAACTGAATGTAAGCCCCATTGAATGGTACTTCTGGAGAAGTACATCTTGCATGGTGATGCAATATGAATAATAGTACATATACTTAATACAGCTAACATTTTTTTCTTGCTCATAATTTCCTTTTTTTATTAGATTTTTTAAATTAGTTTATCAAGTATAAAAGAAAAAGAAAAAAGTAGTGAAAAACTAAGAAAAGGGGGAGGGAAAAGAAAAGAGATATAATATAAAGCAAGAAAAGGAAAGAAAAAGGCACTGACTTCTAACTCTTTAGCACAGTAGAAGATAACATTACAACCACAAGTGTTTGTTTTTACACAACACTATATACAAGCCATTTGTATAAACAATAAACCTATCCTAGTTAACAAAAACAAAATCAAATTTTCATTTTTTGTTTCATTGCAAGCACAAAATCCGGAATCAATTTCACAATAGGAGCAAGATTAGATACCTTCTCTTCTTTGGATAAAAGAATCAATTTAACCATCTCTGCTTCTTGCTCATAATTTCCATTGCTACCAATTTCCTATCCCAAAGGTGCCTTTTCCGAAAGGCAACTGGACTTCGTTTTATCCTTGAAGACGTTTCGCTTCTCATCCAGGAGGTTTCTTCAGTCAGAATTGAAGAAACTTCTGGGCTGAGAAGCGAAACGTCTTCAAGGATAAAAGGAAGTCCAGTTGCCTTTCGGAAAACGCACCTTTGGGAGAACCATGACCTGGATGACTGAGAATCTCCACTGACGGATTTCCTATGCTGTTTTCACTTTTGGTTGAAATGAGGAAACCTATGAATTAGGAATGGAGCGGCTATAGTACATATTATGGTAAAATAAAATGGAATGCAATACAGAGCTAACGTAGACCAATGAACATAAAGTAGATGCATCAGAAGATTCACTGCGCCAGACAATTTTCAACTCGACGGGCGCTGCCTCACCGACGGGCGCCCCTCAGCATCCTCCCTCCTCTCCCCCGACTTTACTCTCCGTCCCGTTCCCGGAGCAACTTCTTACCAAGTTGCGCAGCCCGCCTAAATTCTGCCGCGACTCGGACATGGCGGGGCCGTCCTCGGCGCTACTGTCCGCGACGCCGTTGTCGTCGGAGCGGCGCATGTAAGAGGAACGGCGGATGCCCGAGAGAAGCCCCGACGCCCTGCCCACCGAGTAGTAGCTGGGGCCGGCTGCCTGCTTGTACCACGCCCCGGCGGGCGGGCTGAGCAGCAGGGCCAGCGTGAGGAAGAGCAGCGCCAGGATCGGTGGTCCGCTCATGCTGCGAGAGGCTTGAGACGGCTGGGCTGGGAGGCCGCCATCGGGCGCCTCCTTTTATAACACCGGAGAGGCAGGAGCGGGGACCAGCCGGGCGGCTCAGAAGCCCCGGAGCGGGCGGTGGAGACAAGCGCCGCGCCGAGCACGTGACGCGGCGCTCTCTTCGCGGGGAAGCTGCCTGCTCTGGCGGGCGGGAGGCTTTTTCGGTCGCTGGCAGGGAGGGCGGCTGGCTCCAAGCTGGGCTTCTCGATCGGGTTTTGCTTTAGCTCTTTTGCCCGCGTCTGCTCCGCCGGCTTCCCTCACGAGTTGAAGCTCCAACGCGTTGTGATACTCCACAATTTCACCTCCCGTTTCCCCTTTGGCCGCAAGAAACAGACTCGAACAACGACGCGCTGGGCTCGCTCCTCCGTCGAGAGAGGACGAGACCAGAGTGAAAGTTCCCTGGTGACTGGGGGGAAAAGCGCGAGCCAGTTCCCTCAACGACCGAAGTTGCAACAAACACCCGTCGTCGCTAACTGAACCCCGCTGAGTCATGGAAGCCCGTTTTTTTCCCCTGCACTTGTAGATCCACTGAAACCTCATATAACAAGACTTGTTAGCTGGATAATTTGTGGCTCGGTCGGTCGTGGGAACACAGTCAATATTCCTCTTACATCTTTCTCTAATACTGTTTAGCTTTAGCAGCATTGCAACGAAATCTGACTTTGGCGCATTAATCTATAGATAAACTTAGTGGTCTGAGTTTTTGTTTTATTTATCTCTCAAATCTCCATGCGTAAACTACCATGTTTCCCCAAAAAAAGATCCTGTCTTATATTTTTTTGAACCCCGAAATAAGCGCTTGGCCTTATTTTCGGGGAGGTCTTATTATTTTGGGGCACGTGGAGCAAGACGGGGCTCCTCTTGCTCTCTTACCTGATTTCCAGCTCTGTCTCCCTAACCCTAACCAGAGGAAATGGTGGTGACCAGCTGCACATGCATTTAAATATTTTCGGGGAAGGCTTATTTTTTGGGGGGGGGGCTTATTTTAGCACATGCGTGCAAAAGTCCGATTGGGCTTATCAGGGGATGTCTTATTTTCAGGGAAACGAGGTATTTAAAATCTGCTATTTTGACAAGAGGTTCTGATAGTTAAAAAGGGGTTAACCAGGCTGTTGACAAGCCCTTTCCACAATTGTATTTATCTGCAGTGCAAATACCTACATTTTTTTTGCTGCCTGTTATACAGGTAATACTCAATGACCACAACTGACCCCAAAATTTATATTGCTAAATGAGACATTTGTTAAGTGAGTTTTGCCCCAATTTTCTTGCCACAATTGCTAAGTGGATCATTGCACTTGTTAAGTTAGTAACATGGCTAAGGAAATCTGGTTTCCCCATTGATTTCGCTTGTCAGAAGGTCATAAAAACTGTAATCCTGGGACACTGCAACCATCATACGAATCAGTTGCCAAACACCTGAATTTTGATCATGTGACCATGGGGATGCTGCAAAGGTTGTAAAAGGGTTATAAGCCACTTTTTTCAGTGCCGTTGTAATTTTGAATGGTTACCAAATGGTTGTAAGTCAAGGGCCACCTGTACTGCAATCCTTGATTCTGGAGTGGGCAATTGCTTCTTGCTAAAACAGGATGATGAAAATAATGCTTTTAATTTTAACAGAATAAAGGTTTCACAGCTATAGTAAAATGCTGATCAATTACTAAGGAAAATATGATTCAGGAGTCCTGGTAGCACCTTCTCCAGCTAACAATTTTTTATTAAAAGTCATAATCTTAATCTTTCATGAATTACAGCTCACTTCATCATTTCAGTCCATGAAAAGAATTTTTGCCTTAAAAGAATATTTTAGAATTGTTAATTGGAGAACCAGATTCCTTATTTTTTGCTACCATACATGGCTCTTCTACAAATAAGATATAGTGCTTGTTGCTGCCCTCTTACGTTATCTGGCTCATCTAAAAAAATCCTAATCCACTTTAGTTGTAGTGCAATAACCCATGTATCAATGATATGGTGTACAGTATGCCTACTCTTTTATTGTTGTATAACAAAACGTATACAATTTATAAAGCCCCAATAGCAGTCCAAAATAATAATAAACTGTATGAAGAGTGTTTTAAATTATATTGTGTTTTTCATTCTCCAAAGATAAAAATCACTCTGCCAGTTTTCAGCTATTTCCAATTGCAGAAATTTCAAAAGACACACACACAGAGTCACTTACATTGTGTGTCTTAGCAGAGGTGAATATGCAAAGATCCTGCAAAACTCCAGATTCTGTCATCACAATTTGGCAACAAAACCATCAATTTAGAAACATGACTTTTTTGTCAATGCTTAGCCATCAAAAGGTGTAGTGTAACAGTGTTAAGTCTCAGTAAAACTTCACACCTGCTGTTCCTTTATCCAACACTCAAATTTTCTCCTACATGTTTAGTTGCCCCTCCTCCAAATTGTAGACTTTGATAAGGAATTTTTTTCCTTAAACTTAGTGTTGTGTGAATACTAGTCAAATTTTATTTAGCAAACAATGATTAATCAAAACATGGCTCAATAGAAATATATGAAGCCAGGCAATAACTCCTACAGAAAGCAGAAAAGCAGCTAAACTAAAATTAGGTACCTTTTACAGCTAGAAATAAAATAGACAGGCACAAAATACAATTTTCATTTTAATTAAAATTTGCTCAGGGGAACAAAGTTTGGGGAACATTGAGAAAGAGCATATTTTTTAGACTATAGTTAATTGTAGTCAATTAAGTGCCACTAGGGTGTTTTACAAGGCCCTGGTGTCATATTTGTGGCAAAAAAGCACAATTCTCAGTGCTAGGGAAGATCCCAGAGATCATCAAAAGTGGTAGGTAACTGTTCTTTTAAATGGATAATTTTTCCTTGATGGCTATTTAGTTAGCATCAGTTTTTCAATTGCACACTAAAGGCAGGGTGGCATATGCAGCAATGATTGGCACCCACATCAGGATGAAACATCAGAAACAGCTGGTTTATCACTACATATGAAACTAGTGGGGGAATAGTTTGCCATAAATAATCATTTGATTGAAAAAAGATGATGAATATTGCTTCCTTTCCCATAAATTTTATTCCATCATCTTTGTTTAACCGTCAAAAGAATTGGCAACGGGTAGCTGCACTCCTGGCTAGAACCAAACTTGAAGAATCACAATCTGGGTTGAAACAGGCCAGGAGCATTGCAAGGAATGACTCAAAGAATTCACTGGAACCACCCTGTATAAATGATCTCATTTATTACTTGGGAATAAACACAATCTGATCGTGTTTTCAGAACAAACAGTTCGATGTAGTGGTTAACCAGGAGACTGCGTTCTAGTGTCACCTTAGGCACAGAAGCCAGATGAGTGACTTTGGACCAATCACTCTTTCAGCCCAACTCATAGGGTGGTTGTTGTGGGGAAAGTAGTAGTAGGAAGGTATACATGTGTTCGACACCTTATTTATAAAATAATAAAGATAGGGTAATTATCATATGGCATGCAATACATGGACTAGCAATGTAAATTAACATTTCAACTAGATTAGTAGAATCCAAGAAAATATAAATGTCAAAAAAATCTCTCTTCAAAAGTCAATGTCTAGGCCATTTAACCATTGAAGCACAGCACTGTTTATATTTAAAAACTCAAGATATGGACCACTATATAATCTTACAGCCGGTCACGATATGATCTATTCTATAGTTTGACGTGAGATCCTGCAGTCACATTGAGGGGAGGATACTATACCCCATTTATACAGAGAGTACTGGCAGAAGCCATGTGAGGTGCAAATCCTATTCAGGATTGTCCATTGCTGACATGGTCGTACAAAGCCTGGCACCTTTTTTGAGAAGTCATTTATATGTCTTCCTATAACGGGACGTTCAGTGAATCATTTGGCTTTCCATTAAGAATTGATGTTAAAGTTGTTGGGCAGATGTTGTGCAAGTGCCAGTGAAAGGTTCCTTGATTTGAATCTCCCTGCTGATAAATGAGGAAGGTTGGCATTGAATTGGTAGGAGTTGTTGATACTTTTTCTGTATTTTCTCACTAGTGCATCATGCCTCTGTAAGGCTGGCAGTGCTATATGGCTCAGAACAGAAAGTTGGAACAGGAAGAACAGGAAGTTGGAATGGTTTTAATACATTCACTTATAATCCTCATGGTGTTGTTGAGTCTGGCAGAATAAAAATTTAATAAACAATTATTGTACTGCAGGCCAAGTGCGCAGCAAAAATGCTGGCACAAGCCTGAGCTATTGAAGCCTTGTCAACTTTTATATCTAAATCAAAAGTTTATTTATATTAGTAGAACTGTTTTCTCTGTTTTGAACAAGTTGCTCCCGTATTACTAAATTAAAATTGAGGCCTAAAACTACAGTCAAGAAGTCAATAATTTTTATTTGTATACTTAAGCAAGGCATCAGTAATACACATTACAAAAAAAGTGAGATTTGGGTGTTTTACACTGAAGTTGAAAGTACACATTTTACAACACCATTTAAAACAATAGTCTTAATAAAAATACAACTGAGACACCTATTTTACACAAATAATCCTATTTCATTTCAATCAACTACTAAAATTGAAACTGGAGGTTTGCTTACTTGTTGCCTTCATACCAACATAGTCATCACTTTCCTTGCATTTTATAGATTTTGAGAGCTCAGCTGGTGTGGTACCATACATTGGGCCATTGTATGTAGGATGGTGGCATTGAGAAAATACTGTAATATATAATAACAATTTTCTTCTCCTTGATTCTTGATTGATATTAGTAATTCTGGCAAATTACTAGATCCAAAAGAAGCTGGGGGAGAAATCTTGCCAGAGTCACTCTTTGAACTTCCATTCCTGTCGGCACATTGGACAGTGCTGTTGAACTTGTTGAGAATTAAGCCACTTCAGTATGCAGTGCATGTGGAAACAGTGTGAACACTGTCCCCACACAAGAGGACAATCATCTCCAGGCACCTTACCTGAAAACACAAATGTTAATAGGGCAAAATCAAAGGAATACTCAGCTCAAGAGGACAAAAAAAATTAAGATTAATATTTACAGTCAGGACAGCATCCATTAAAAGCCATTCGACAAATGCCACAGTTCTCATCATTAGCAACCCAGAGCCAGGAAGCAACTCCATGCCAGCTCTTGATTTTCACCTTCATTGTAGTCAAGACTACTATGGTCAGGATAGTATCTGAAGGGGAGGAAAAAAAATAAGGTTAACTGCAATTTCTTTTGTTGCTTTTTATACAGTTCCTTTAAATATGAAAAACTGTTATTTAAAATAGCATTATTTTACACACAGCTTCATAACTTATAACAGGTACTGTGCCATCGTTTTTGCCAACAGTTAAAACTTGGTACTCTTTGGTTGTTTTCTTGCAGAAACTTCATTATTCAGCTAGGGAACATTTTCAGTGTCACAAGCAATAGGGTTTGCATTCTGTTTATAGTAGTTTGCTCTGTCAGTATTGATGGGACTGTTTTCTTCTTGCTAGTTAATGGGGTACTGTTTATAGTTTGATTGTTGGTCTGCTATTAATCCTGGTGTTAATCTCTGCTTATCTGGATGTTGATTACTGATGAGGAGATGTTTTGGTCTTTGTTTCCTTTTTTATTGTCTCTTTTGAATCTTATGTAAATATCCATGTAAATGAATGTATGATAAATATCTGTTCATTTACAAATTAAAAGATGGCATAAAGAAGATATGGATTGCCTCTAGATTCCATAAAACAGCATTTCATGTATGGAAGACCAACCTCTTTTAGAGGTACAGGAGAAAAACATAATTTAAAGAGATTGCTAAATAAGATGCAATTGAAGCTTGATTCCCAACAGCCCTTCTATGAGTATTTGAGGTGTGGAGGGAATTAAAATAGGAAATCTATCTTGCACAATGTTTTAAAGTTCATCCCTCTTTTGCTTGAAACTGGATATTTAATTAGGAAAGTAGCATAGGTGAATAAAAAATAAATTGCTTTAGGTATTAAATTTTTTAAAATTGTATTAAGCATTTTAGAAAAGACTATAAACCATGCAACATGAAATGCATATAAGAATAAAATAGTAAAATATAACTGTAGAACAAAAATAATCATGGAATCTAAAATGTAATGGAGGTTAGTTTTTCACTATATGGTTAGTTAATTATAAAGTTATGACCCATCATTTACTAAAGGAGACTCAAAAGTCCTAATTAAAATTCAAACTAAAAGTACAAGGTTAACACGATATAAGCCACAAACTAAATTTATAGGCTATAATAGATTAGGACACACTGGGAAATTTCTTATATAATTTAAATATAAACTATAAATACTAAAAAAATAAATAAATGTAGGATGTGGTACAAATGTAGAGAGTAAATAATCATTTAAGAAAAGTTCCATTTAGACCAGATTTACCTTTTAAATGAGTGATTGTTTTTAACTTTAAAATATAACTTAATAAGGAATTCTTTAAGCAAAGGACCACACACTCTTATACAGTTTTATATATACAGTTAGTATATATAAAATTACCTGCATACTTTGAAGAAATGTATGGTTTAGTAAAATTCAATAAAAATGTGTCTGGTTGCAAAGAGAAGTCAACTTTCAAAATTCATCTCACTGTAATATATATTATTTTCCCAAACTATTGAACTTTACTGAATTGCCATTATATCTCACAAAAAATTATCCACCTTGCTTATTGCACTTCCAAGAGTTTCTAGAAAATCAGTTACTAACTGTAGCAATTAGGACATATTACATGGAATAACAGAGCAATGATAAAACAACTTGTAACAATTTTTCTCTGAAAACAATATTTGGAGTAAATTTAAAATTCTTCTGCCATTGAAATTCCCGTTCTTGCATCTCTATTACAGTATTTAAATTTGGCATCCATTCAATCATGCAATCTTTGGCCTATCTTATCTCCAAATCTATTTCATTAACAGTTTATAAATTAAGTCCAGTAAGTTCCAAGTTGCAATTTTTGAAGGTATTAAATTCTAATTTGCCTTTTCACCAAAACCAATGGGAAAACCTCTTCCTACAATGTATAAATCTCAATTGCTGTAATTTTACTGCGTGCAAAGATAACTAAATGCTAAAATAACCACATCCATCAACACTATATAAATAGATTGACTCTCTAATACAAACCCACAGGAAAACGTGGCAGGTTTCTCATTAATTACTAGCTTCGCCGTCACATTTTTTTTTCTTTACTTGCTCTAATATTGTGCAAGTTTACAACCCAGATTGTTTTAATTTAAACCCCACCTTCGGGGAAAGGGGCAGAATTCACTTTTGCCTTTGCTTTCTCCTATTATTTAGTCAGGTGAAACATTCTGGGCAATTCCAAAACTGGATATTATTAACATTCTATGGTCTTTGTTTATAAAGCTTTATATTACGACACTAGGAAAAACAGGGAGGCAATGGATGAACACACAGAGACACAAAAATGCCAGCGGGCTGAAGACAGGCGGGTTGAGAGAAAAGGATCGGAAACACGACACACTAAGCTGCGTTCACACGACCACACTCATTCCGGGGTTTACCTAATTGAGTGGTAAATTCGCATAGATAAGGCGAACACGTGACTAGGGTGATAGTAATTGAGAGGCCGCTGCGAACGCCGTCTGCCTTCCTTCCTGCCTTCCTCCCTCCCCACCCCCAAATAGCCAGCGGCTAAAACAGAGCCCCACCCACCGCCCCGCCCCTTTTTTGTCGTCATCGCTCCCCCCACCAGTCCCGTCTCCCCCGCACCAACCTTCGCGCCCAAACTCAGCTCTTCCCAACCCCCCCCCCCCTCGGAGGTCCCCCCCCCCCCTACCCCCCCCCCCCCCCCCTCGGAGGCCCCCCCCCCCTCTACCCCCCCCCACCTCATTTTGCAGGCCCCGCTCCTATAAAACCTGGCCAAGGGAAGGCAGCCTTTTATTTCTTTCACGGAACCAAGCTTGTCCGCTTACGCTCTTTCCACCCCTCCATTTCTTAAATCCTGCCTCATCCGTTTCCGGTCCCCGGTATAGCGCGGCCGGAAGTGTAGGCCCAGGAGCCGGAGGGAGCCGCCATCATGGGCGACAAAATGGATATGTCTTTGGACGACATTATCAAGCTGAACAGGAGTCAGCGAGGCGGAGGTGGCCGAGCCGGCGGTGGTCGAGGCCGGGGAAGAGGAGCTACAGGTCGAGGAGGAGGAGGAGGAGCTGGGCGAGGAGGAGCTGGACGCGCAGGTGGAGGCGGACCCGTCCGGAACAGAGCCGCTCTGTCCCGGGGAGGCGGCAGGAACAGGCCCGCGCCCTACAGCCGGGTAAGGCCTCTCTTAGGAGGCTCTTCCATCGAGTTACGGCCATGGGCGAGACGGAGTAGCGCTGCCTTTTAAAGTTATCGGGGAAGCAAGCGTAGAGCGAGATTCTCCGGCGCCTTTATAGGGAGGGACGCTCTCTGTTGGGATTTGCGGGGTTTGGTTCGGTATCTCGGTGTGCTTAGGTTTCGTAAAATTTGGAAAGCGAAAGGAAATGAAAAGGTTGAACCGAATAGAAAAGATCGGGGCTGTTAGTGATCGGAACTCGTTCTCTTCGCAGCCAAAACAACTCCCTGAAAAGTGGCAACATGATTTGTTCGAGAGTTGCTTTGGCCCTGGCGCTGGCGTGGAAACGGGTGGAAAGCTCCTCGTCTCTAATCTGGATTTTGGTGTTTCGGATGCAGACATACAGGTATGTTTGTTCTTAATAAAGGATTCCGGATAGTGCGTAAATGGAATAAACTCTGCCGTTTATCATAGTTTTCATTTGTTTTCTGACAATACTACACTAGTATTGAAGACTAAAACTTACTAAAGTCTTCCTGAAAGGATTTTCTTATGGCAGAGAATTTATTCTAGCATCAACCTGTAGCATATATTAGCCATGATATTCAGCATTGATATGTTATATTTTGAAAGTGATAGCATATACTTTTAGTGCGTTTCCTTATAAAATTTTCATGCAATACTGCTTTATTGCAAATCAACTTTCAGGTACATTTGAACTTTCTCTACAAATGTTTCACCAGTTTTATTCTGGTGGCCAATTCATATTGTTGAACAGATCTTTTGGCTTGTTCTTGAAGCTGGGAAAAAGAAAAAATAGCTTGTATCTAATTCAAATGCAGCTTCGGTTCTTCATTGAAAAACTTGATGTAATGTTACTATCTCTAGACTGAATCCTAGGACAAAGAGAATGCTAGGAGATGGATTTATTGTAGTGATTAGAATAATGTTTCTCAACCTTGGCAATTTTGAGAATGCAGGCTGGGGAAAATTCTGGGAGTTGAAGTTCACACATCTCAAAGTTAGCAAGGTTGTATTAGAATATTGACTGGGAAAAGTTCAGATTCAAATCCACATTAGACTGTTAGGCTCACAAAGGTACTTTGGTCAGCTGTTATAGCTCAGTCCATTCTCCTAGAATGGAAACATGTACAAAATAGATTTTGTATATAAACTATCTCCTTTGATACAAATGGGGAAAATCAGTAACAGTTTGACATGAATATTATGAGTTTTTTAATGTTCTAAAATTAGCCTCATTGACTATAAATATACTGATTTATTGTATTTATAATTTTCTCAGCTGGTACATATTTTGTACTGGTTTTAATTGTTTTAGAATTGTTGCCCAGAGTTACTTGGTTGAGGTGGGTGGGTATGGAAAATAGATTGTTTGGGAGATGATAAAATATTAATCTTTACATATCAGTTGAAAGAGAAAAAAGGCAACTTTAACACAACTGTTTTATAGACATAAGAGCAAAATGATGTGGATGTACTGTCCTCTATTATAATTTCTAGGCTCTCTGAATAAACTTAAAGATCCTCTTACCATTCTCAGTTACATTAACCTTGCCTTTCCATTATTTCAGGAGCTTTTTGCAGAATTTGGGACACTAAAGAAGGCAGCAGTACACTATGATCGTTCTGGACGTAGTCTAGGTACTGCAGATGTTCATTTTGAGAGGAAGGCTGATGCTCTGAAGGCTATGAAGCAATACAATTGCGTTCCCTTGGATGGTATGTATATACTTGCTAATCATATTGGGTATTACACAAGGATGAGAAGTGATCTGACATGGTTCTGGTAATAAACAAGCTACTTGTATATAAGCATTCTCCTTAGATGACAAGGAACTACTTTAGACAAGTACGTGGAATACAGTGTAATGAAGTAAGGGACTGGTAGGGGAGAGTTAAGAGCTCCATTCTCTCTCCATGTGCCCAACATAGAAATCGATGGCTGCTAGAAGAGGGAGAGCCATCTTTTCTGGATAGATCTTTCCCTAATTATTCTTTTGGCATTTTTTGCTGCTAGACTTATTTTAAATTATGGTAATCACGTACATTCTTTTTATTATTAGGACGTCCCATGAACATTCAGCTGGTTACATCACAGATAGATACACAGAGGAGACCAATACAGAGGTAAAAAAAACTTATCGTAATGTTCATTTCTTTAGTTAAGATAGATTATGCCTATAGTTTTCAAGATTTTGTGATGGCATCTATATTATTACTACAGACACTAGTGGAGTCTGCTGTATTCATACAGAAAACTTGAAGTTGAATTTTTAACTTAAAAAGTGATGTACAAACTCTGTTTAAGTATTATTACAACAGATTAGGATGGCTAACATGTTATGTGGACCACAGTCATTTGTATGTAAGGGGAAAAATAAGGGAAAAACACTTTACAATGTGGTTATTCCTCACTCAATAGACTGTTCAAGTCATTTTGTGTGTGTGTATCTATCTATCTATAGATATATATAGATATATATCTTATAGTGTAATTGATTTGCTTTCCTTTAAATTAGTTGTCTAACTTTAGAAAAAGTGAAAAAATAAATTTGCAAAGAATAATCAGATCGAATTTCTTGATAATTTATTAGTCATGGTTCCAGAAAAAAATTGAAATGGGGATAGTGTCACTTTGTATTATTTGCCAAATAATAGTTAACATTACAATTCCTTAAATAGTCAAAATTGGTATTTGATCTTATATACTTCATATTGCAACCCTACTATCCAGCAAAAAGATTTTCTATTTCAGAGTTTAGATTCTAACATACTGTTAATTATTATCATAAACCAAAGTAGGCCTATTGTGTATTACGTATGTTAGTACTTAAAATAGAGACTAGAGAAATTCTGTAGTTTTCTAAAGTAATTGTAATCAAAGGGCCTCCAGTTTGTAAAAGACATCAGATACAGTGATTCACTTTTGCGGTTTGTTGATCATGTTCTGTGGTAGTGCTTACTTTTACATTAACCTCTAGACTGATGTACTTTGCATTTTCGCTTATGTATGATTAAGCACCTCTAATTCTGTATCTTTTTTGATATTAGTGTAAGTAGAGGCGGTATGACAAGAAACCGTGGTGGCTCAGGTGGTTTTGGCGGTGGCAACCGACGAGGCAGTCGTGGCAATAGAGGCAGAGGCAGAGGTGCTGGTAGGAGTTCCAAACAGCAGCTCTCTGCAGAAGAATTGGATGCACAATTGGATGCTTATAATGCTAGGGTGAGTAATGTACTAAAAAAGATTGAGACAGAATGTTGCCCTGATGAGTGAATTGGCATGTACAGCTCCCATAACTTTGCAGCAATTTTTATGTTAAATAGTTGATTGGCATGTATGTTTTCAGTTGCTTGTACGCTCCTTCTGGGTATGAAAACCACACTAATGTGAAAGGAGTCCTGACAACACTAATTAATTATGATTCTAGTATGATTATCTGATCATGTTTATGTCATTGAAATTAACACGTGTTGAACCACAAAAGAAAATCAAGTTCTATAATGTAATAGCAATTCTAAGCTCTATATTTTTCATTAATGTATCCAGACGTATTTTGCTTTTTTAATTGCTGTTCTGCTTGGGTCATTTTATAATGTTATAAATATTATTTGGAAGTAGAATTTATTTGTTTGTGCACATTGCTACCGAATGATCATCCCTGAAAATTAGTATGTGTTAAATGTTCAGCAGGCCTGCATTTAAATTGAGATAGGTTTAGATATTTATGCATACATATATAAGGAAAGAACTCTCCATCTTTTTAAATGACTTTTCTCGTGAAAATCTAGAATTTGGGGATTGTGCTCCTCCAAATACTTTAAAGCTGAAATTAAAATCATTGTGGAAAAAAATCCTTTCCTGGATGTGAATCTGCTTGAAATAATTCATGGCAAAGTATGTAATATCAGTTATCTCTGCCATTAGAGAATCAGTATGCCTAGCCTGTTGCTTTCTTTTGTTTTCAGTTAATTGTTTACAGACAAGTAAATGTCTTTTCCTTTCTTTTTAGATGGATACCAGTTAAATCTAATGATGCGTCACATGCATGGAAAGGACTGCAGACATCTCATTCCATGCTCCCTAGTGGGAGGGAAAGGGTGTATAGCGGCGGCTACTAATATCAAGAATGGAATTTGTTTTACTTTTATGTTTTGAAATAGGTTTTAAACTCATGTAAAGGTTTTTCTTTTTTTTAAATTCTGAAACAGATCTGTTTTGTACCGAGTTATTTTTGGGAAAAATTTTACTGGTTGCCTGTTGGGCCAAAGTGGCTTTTTCACTTTGGCAGTAATAAAATAGAAATGTGTCTAGAGCTGTAAATGTCTGCTTCATGTTGCAGCTGGAG